AATTTCATAATGAGGAGCTTCATAATTGACACGCCTCATTCAATCTTCTCTCCTTTACAGGAGGTTGGCGACATTATGAACAGGATCCTTCCATCCTTTTCTCGGACTGGGACCTGTTCATATATGTTTCTTAGGCAGGTGATACAGGGGTCCGCAGTGGCCGAGCGGTCTGAGGCGTGAGCCTTGTGTTGCAGGGACCGTGGTTTCGAATCCCACTCAAGCCATGGATGTTTTTCTGTGTTGTATTGTCCTGTGTACAGGTAGAGACCTTGCGACGTGCCGATCCCTCGTCCAAGGAGTCCTACCGAATGTCCATAGGTCAAGCCAATGAAAAGTTGTGGACCCGTAAAGGGTATAGTCGGCGCAGTAGTTTTTGGCCAGTGGAATTTTCAAGGGGAAGGCTAGGATCGAGTCACTGACTGCACCGAGGAGCTTATCGGACTGAACGCCCAAACAAACGAAATAAACTGACCGTGCCACCTCAGGTACACGGACTAGGCCCGTCCGCCAGCTCCACCGGCCAATAATTACCGCGCCGACTATAACATAAAATGTAGAAAACATTGTTAAACCGGAAAAAGAAAGAAGGCAGGTGATACAGATGTGGTTTGCCATTGCCTTCTTCTGTGTGTATGGAGTGCCACGGAGAAACCGGGGAAGCCCCGGAGGAAAACTCCGTGTTGCTTAGACCACGGCCTTGCCCGACGCAAGTTATAAATTCGGGCACAGCCGGGAATCGAACCCGGGATCCCAGGCTTACAAGGCCAGCGTTCTAACCGCTAGACCATGGTGGCCCTTATTGAATAAGGCCTGTCATTAGAGCGACCAAATTAAGAAGACGAAATGGCGGCGTGTGTCTTGAATGCGACAGACGATAAAGGCTTACAAAAGATTAGTCTGAAAACGTGAAGTGGGAAGACATGGGCGCAGATGGTGTCTTGGAGAAATGGAATGTGACGATGTGGACTGTATTCGTCTAGGGACAAGTGTCGAGTTCTTGTGAACATTGTAGTGAAAACTGGGGCTACGTACGTTAATGGCGAAATTGATTTACCTTCATTTGATTGGTTGAATTATTTTGTGGAAAATTATTATTATTATTATTATTATGAATTGTTTAATTGGTCCACAAGCAGCCAAAAACTTCAGGCGTGTTGCCGTAATA